AAGGCCCCAGCCACCTCGGGGTCGCTCTGGGGCCACCGCGCCCGGTCTCCAGGGCATCGCTCACATCTTGGGCCATCTTGGCTTCGTCCCCAGACGATTTCGACGCTGCGCCTGGATCCTGCAGGGGCCACGGGGTCTTCTCGGGGTCGCCCCGCGGTCATCTTCGCGCCCGTCTGAGGCCGTCGTGGAACCGTATTGGGGCCATGGGTCCACCCAAATCACACTGTCTGGATCGTCTGGAGGTCTTCCGTTTCCAAGGATGCTTTCGCCACGCCTAAGCCTGATCGCGCCTGCCGCCCCCCGTATGATCTCGGCTAAAGGCTGACCTCTGAGATGAGACTGAGCCGTCGCTTTCGCCGCTCCAAAAGTTCCTTGAATTTTCTGGGTTGGGCCCGATGGCAGCGCGTGCTCGCCCACGTCGCACCCCTCTCGGCAACGGCCCCGATGGGGTTGAGGGGCAGGACGCGCTGAACCCCCGCCCCCCTCTAAAAGCCTAGCAAGATAGCCCTCTTGCGCGGTCTCGGCGGGATCTTTGGCGAGTAGTTCCCCTCTTTTATTATATAGTTGTTTGTCTAGCCAACCATGCATCCAACACATAAACACTAGGGGCCGGAACAATCCCGCGGCGGGACCCAATCCCGCCAATGCATGACGTGTTCGGGTCTTCTTGAGGTCATCTTGGCATCATCTCCAGGTTATCTTAAGATCATGGTGGTGTACTCTGGGAAGGCCCCAGCCACCTCGGGGTCGCTCTGGGGCCACCGCGCCTGGTCTCCAGGGCATCGCTCACATCTTGGGCCATCTTGGCTTCGCCCCCAGGCGATTTCGACGCTGCGTCTGGATCCTGCAGGGGCCACGGGGTCTTCTCGGGGTCGCCCCGCGGTCATCTTCGCGCCCGTCTGAGGCCGTCGTGGAACCATATTGGGGCCATGGGTCCGCCCAAATCACCCTGTCTGGATCGTCTGGAGGTCTTCTGTGTTTCCAAAGAAATTCCCATTGCGCCTAAGCCTGATCGCGCCTGCCGCGCTCCGCATGATTTCGGCTCAAGGTTGACCTCTGAGATGAAACTGAGCTGTCCCTGCTGTCGCTTTGCTGTCGCCTTGCTGTCGCCTTGATGTCGCCTTGCTGTCGCCTTGCTGTCGCCTTGCGAATGAAAAACTGCGCTGATCGCGTCCGCCGCACTCCGTATAATTTCGGCTCAAGGTTGACCTGTGAGATGCAACCGAACTGTCCCTGCTGTCGCTGTGCTGTCGCCTTGCTGTCGCCTTGCTGGTGAAAAATTACGCATCGCTGCTCCGAAAGTACCTTGAATTCCCTGGGTTGGGCCCGATGGCAGCGCGTGCTCGCCCACGTCGCACCCCTCTCGGCAACGGCCCCGACGGGGTTGAGGGGCAGGATGCGTTGAACCCCCCTCCCCCCCGTAAGGTCAAAATCTGGTTATATTTAACGATGTGTTGTTTTCAAGTTTTCCCGTTCATATCTGTTGTTCTGCTTGCGAATTTGGATGCTTCTTCTTGCGATAGCGTCGAATGGTGAGGATCCCTTCTGTGGCGGATTACAGTTTGATTTCTTTTGTGGTAGATTACCAATAAAGTACTTTTGTGGCGGAATACAAAAGGATTCCTTTTGTGGTGGATTACAAATTGATTCCCGTTGTAGCGGATTACAAATTGATTTCCTTTGCGGAGGATTCCACAGGAGGAAACCAGGGAGAGAAAGGGGGAAAAAAAACATGATGGACCCACGAACCCGGAAAGGGATATAGACATGTGGAGCATGGGCACGTTTTCACGATACCCAACGGGGCAACACCTCACGAAACATCCCACGAGACACCTCACGAAACATCCCACGAGACACCTCACGAAACATTCCGCGAGACACCTCACGAAACATTCCAGGAGACACCCCGCGAAACATTCCACGAGACACCCCACGAAACATTCCACGACGACAGGCAACCACTCAACCAAGGCGGTGTGGTCGTGCTGGGGAGTGGTCGTGCTGGGGTGTGGTCGTGCTGGGGGGTGGTCGTGCTGGGGTGTGGTCGTGCTGGGGGTGGTCGTGCTGGGGGGTGTGGTCGTGCTGGGGAGTGGTCGTGCTGGGGTGTGGTCGTGCTGGGGTGTGGTCGTGCTGGGGTGTGGTCGTGCTGGGGTGTGGTCGTGCTGGTCGTGCTGGGGGGTGGTCGTGCTGGGGTGTGGTCGTGTGCTGGGGTGTGGTCGTGCTGGGGTGTGGGTCGTGGGGTGGGTGTGTGGAGGTCGTGAGTGTGGGGTGTGGGGTGTGGGTGCTGCGGTGGTCGTGCTGTGGGTCGTGGTCGTGCTGGGGCGTGGTCGTGCTGGGCGTGGTCGTGTGGGGCGTGTCGTGCTGCGTGGAGTGTCGTGCTGTGGTGAGGTCGTGCTGGGGTGTGGTCTTGCTGGGGTAGGGTCGTGCTGGGGTCGGGTCGTGCTGGGGTGTGGTCGTGCTGGGGTATGGTCGTGCTGGGGTGGGGTCGTGCTGGGGTGGGGTCGTGCTGGGGTCTGGTCGTGCTGGGGTGTGGTCGTGCTGGGGTATGGTCGTGCTAGGGTGGGGTCGTGCATTTCGCTCGAGACATCCTGCCAAAATTCCAGGAAATCGTACAAAAACAAACGAATTAGTCGAGACATCATCGAAATTCCTTCGCGCGGGGCGCTTTTCCGCGTCGCGGTCGGCTCTGCAAAACAAGCGTTTCGCTCGAGACATCCTCGGCAAACTCTGCGGAGCAAGCGTTTCGCTCGAGACATCCTCAACACACGAAAAAGTGGCCCGCACCCTGTGATTTATCGATCGGGATTTCAAAAACAAGCGTTTCGCTCGAGACATCCTCAAATTTTAATTCGCCGGCCTCCTTCGACCTCGTTATTTATCAGGGAAAAAATTCGCCGGCCTCCCTCAAGTTGGCACCGGGGGACAGGTTTACCTACTAAAAGAGAACCCTGGGCCGGCGCCCTTTCCGGGAAAAATGGAAAACCCATGAAAATTGTATATATGAAAAAAAATATATATAAAAAATGCTGTGGTTTCAATGTTTTGGGTATCGGAAGCTGCGAAACACTGTGGAAAAAATGCTTCCAGCATCCAGAGCTCCAAAACGCTGTGTTTTACAATGTGGTGTATTCTCCCTCCCTCCTCCCTCCCTCCCTCCCTCCCTCCCTCCTCCCTCCTCCCTCCTCCCTCCTCCCTCCTCCCTCTTCCCTCCTCCCTCCTCCCTCATCCTCCTCCTCATCATCCTCCTCCTCCTCCTCCTCCTCCTACTCCTCCTCATCTCCTCCTTTTCCTCCTCCTCCTCCTCCTCCGCCTCCTCCTCCTCATCCTCCTCCTCCGCCTCCTCCTCCTCCGCCCTCCGCCCCTGCCCTCCGCCCTCCGCCCTCGCCCTCCGCCCTCCGCCCTCATCCGTGTCCTCCTCCTCCTCTTCCTCCTCCTCCTCCTCTCCTCCTCCTCCTCCTCCCTCCTCCTCCTCCTCATCATCATCATCATCATCATCATCATCATCATCATCATCATCATCATCATCATCATCATCATCATCATCATCATCATCATCATCATCATCATCATCATCATCATCATCATCATCATCATCATCATCATCATCATCAGCATCATCATCATCATCAGCATCCTCATCATCAGCATCATCATCAACAGCATCATCATCAGCAGCAGCATCAGCATCATCATCATCATCATCATCAGCATCATCATCGTCATCATCATAATCAGCATCATCATCATCATCATCATCATCATCATCAGCAGCAGCAGCAGCAGCAGCATCAGCATCAGCATCTTCATCATCATCCGCCTCCGCCTCCTCGTCCTCCACACACAGCCGAAGGGGGGTACGGGCGGATGTGGGCTGGCCTGCCTCCGAACAGGCGCGCCCGAGAAAGAGAAGGCTGAGAGGGGGGGAGCGAAAGAGGAGACGTTGGGGATCCCCGACGGAAGTGCGGCTCGCGCCTGGGGTGTCTACCTCACCTCGGGAGGAGCCTGCTGCTACCAGGCCATGGCGACGCAAAACGAATCCCGATCAGGAGAACATGAAAAGACTGGAGAAGTTATGACGTGATTATCCAAGCAGGCTTGCCATATAAGAGTTCTAACTCAACCCCTACCAATTGGTCCGTTGCCCACCCCCCAACCCCCGAATTCCTATGCCCCCCCCCCCGAATTCATATGGCTATGCCTATGCATATGCCTATGCATCCCCCCTAACTCCTATGCCTACGCCTATGCCTATGCCTATGCCTATGCCTATGCCTGTGCCTGTGCCGATGCCTATGCGTATGCCTATGCACCATCTCTGAGCGCTCATCTGCATACCTATGCCTGTGCCTATGCGCCTATGCCTATGCATTCCTATGAGTCGCTTGCCCTTGATTGCTCTTGCGTGCTAGTGATTGCTTACTCTTGCGTACTTGCTATCGCTTGCTTGCTCTTGCTTGCCCTTGCTTGCTTGCACTTGATCGCTGGCTAATGCTTGCTTGTTTTTGCTCACTTGCGCGTGCTTGCTTCCGCGGGTTTGCTTGCGCTTGCTTGAGTTTGCTCCTCCCGTCCTCATTTCGTCCTCCTCCCATCCTCCTCTCGTCCTCCTCCTGACCTCCTATCTATTTGGAGTCAACGCTGGCTGATATTTGCCGTCACCGCGCCTTGGTCACGTAGTAGGGCGCCCCAAGGCTCTCACAACTGTGAGTAAAGAGTACCAGAAGACTGTGGGTGCGCCAGGCCGAGTGCCCCGGATACAAGGCCTGCCCCACCAAGCAGGACCCCAAGAGCCCTCAAGAGGTCGCCCAAAGACCTATGGACGCCCCTTCTTTACGCAAAATACTACGGGTGACACAACCACATCGCGAATCAAAAAGTCGCTGGGCAAACAGGGCACACCGCACAAGCCGACCTGCAAAAGGCAAACTCATACTATGAACCGTGGCCTGAACAACAAAAATCGGCACTGCAGTTGCGACAGGAGGAGGGAGGAGGGAGGATCAGACACTCATGAAACCCCCAGGAGGCCCCATGGAGGCCCCGAAGGCACGGTGGCGGGATAGTCCAGCGGACACTGGATAATGAGTGGCGTTTGCCTGTCCGCGCGCAGCTCGCGTTCCTGCACTCTTCGACACAACGCTCCTGTCGCCCAACGCGTGAAGCATCATCCTTGCAAATGACTGGAGAAACGCGCAGGGGAGGGAGCCATGCCCTGTGACGCGTAACGCCCGATCAAGCTCAGACCCGAAAGAACGCGGAAGCCGCAGGCAAAGCACGACCCTGCCGATCCAATCGGAGATGTCGTGGTCCATGAGGTCCGTCCACCCTGCACGCAGCTGGACCCTGCGCGCGTCGAGCCTGCACCCGGCGGCCGCTCCCAGTCTGCCCACTGCCTCCTGCGCCGCAAGGGGCCACACTGCACCACGTCAGCGAGATGCTGCCCCCATCGCCCGGCGGCTCCCCCGTGTGAGGCCCACGCAGCGCAGTGGCAAAGTCCCGAGACCAGCCTTGGCCACCCCTGGGCCAGATCATCCTTCCCGCTCCATCCCTCCTCGCCTCCCCCTCTGGAGGGAGGTCGGTTGTCGCCGATGCATCGGCGACGCATCGACGCCGTCGGCGTGGAGAAGATCGGTCTCCACATGGAGCCAAATCGCCAATGCCTCGGCGATGCGACGCGATCCCCCGATCCAATCTGTTCTGG